GGGGACCCTGTGTGGCCCCGAAAAGTTGCTATTTGTTTTGACATGAAGCGTCAGTAAACAGATGTGTTCTTCACTTCAATATAGTGTGCTGGTGACCTCTTTAACAAGTACCCATGCACAGGGAACACGATGTCGTTAAAAAACACCTGCTCAGGTGATTGACAGCCGCTGCAGTATATCTCCGTAAGGTAGATTTTATATATTTTATTTAACCACTTGCTGACCGGGGTGTTTATACCCCCTTCCTGACCAGGCCATTTTTCAGTATTCAGCGCTGCGCTACTTTGACATTTATTCCGTCATGCAACGCTGTACTGAAATTATTTTTATACCATTTTTTGGGGACACATAGAGCTTTCTTTTGGTGTTATTTAATCACCACTGCGGTTTTTATTTTTTACTATATAACAAAAAAGTACCAAATATTTTAAACAATTAATGGTTTTCCCTTTATTATTTTAGGAAACATTTATTTTTATCCAATTTTTTGGTAAAATATAAAAGGCGGGATCACATCGGGTAAATAGACACCAAACATGTCAAGCCTTAAAATTGCGCGCGCCCACGAAATCGCAGAAAAACACCATAGCCAAAATTGGTCATTTGGTTAAAAGATTTTACCGCTCATCAGTTTAGTATTATCAGTGATTGATGGCCCTAAAATTATTGCTCTCATTGCGGCGATATGTAACACGTGCAGCATAGTTGGAGCAATCGTCGCTTTCGCGTCTAGGCGCATCTAACGCATTTTTGCGCATCTATGAGTGGGGTCGGACGACGACTATAAAACATTTTTGTGGGTTTTTTTTTGGTTTTGTGTGTAAATTTTTTATTTATTTTGTTTACACAACTTTGTTATCACATAGGGTGCTAATAAGTACCCTATGTAATAACAAATTACAGTTACAGGTCCCCTTTATGGAGACATCAGGGGTCTCCAAGACCCCTAATATCACCTAGGGACCCCCAGAGAAGCTGATGGAGCACAGATCTGCTTCATCAGCTTCTCTCCGGTTTCTGTACCGGAGAGTGACAGAGGAATGCGGAAGTGATGTAATGTATATTCAGAGACCGGGAGGAGAGCGGAGGGAGATCGGGTACTGATATCCCTCCGTTCTCAGTGCACAGAGCCACATCGCCTGGGATGGATGGACGCCCGGGATCGCGGGGACAAGCGATCGGGCACTGATCTCCCTCCGTTCTCAGTGCACAGAGCCACATCGCCTGGGATGGATGGACGCCCGGGATCGCGGGGACAAGCGATCGGGCATTTAAAATCCAGGCGCTTTTCCGCTCGTGCGGGCCAGGGGCGCGCGCGAGCAGGCACGAAGGACGCCCACCTGCTTCCAGGAGACTCCCGTCCGGCCGTCTTTCAATGACGGGACGGGAGGTGGTTAAACAAACATTATTTTAAATTTTACAATTACACTACTCTACAGTCTATGTACATTTTAAATAAACTTAGTTTAAAAAACCTACCTTATGGAGATATACTGGAGTGGCTGTCAACCACCTGAGGAGTAGTAATGGGCTCGGGAGTGTTCGCAGCTCCACGTGCCGAGCCCGCCAGGAAGCTGACAGCGCCAATCACAGGTACTGAGACATGTTCCCGGTCCACAGCTGCAGAGATCGGGAAATATCTCAGTGCCTGCGATTGGCGCTGTCAGCTTCCTGGCGGGCTCGGCACGTGGAGCTGCGAACACGCCCAAGCCCATCACTACTGAAGAGGTGTTTCTAATGATGTCAGGTTGCCTGTGCACACAGGTAGCATCATATGACAGCTTGGAGTCCCGAGCATGGGAGCGTGCACTAGAGGGTGGCTTTATAGGAAGCAGCATCATAATGGAGCCACCCCGGGAACAGAAGCCATTTTCATAAAACCCTGCGAAGCCTTCATATCACTAACTCCTTTCACCCAAAACAGAACTAAAGCTTTGGCTTTACTTCCTTGATCAGTGTGTACAGCCAGGGCATTTTCAGGTATAAGTGCCCATTCACATCACCTACAGACCTGTCCAGATTGTTTCTGGATCTAAAATGCATCCTAATGTATCCCTATGCTATTTCTGGTCTCTGTTCACACCAGCGCAGTCCGTTCCAGACCAGACAAATACTGCTTGTCTCATTTTGTGAGGTCTGAAATGCACTGGAACTGCAGTAGTTTCACACCATTTTCCGGACCAGATATGGTCCGGAAAATGGTGTGAACCTGCCCTAAATGCAGAGACATAGAGGAAGAACATCATTATTTCAGTTCCTATGAGGCTAGAAAGGCTCTGCTCATTAGAGAACACATGACAAATGTCCGGGTCACTCACTGATTCTCAGCACGGCCACATAGATGAGGAAATTCCGCACAGAGCTGATGACATCTCGCCGCATTTTGGCCCGCAGCTCCTCGGGATCAGCTTTGGGCCCCAGACCCTCCAAGCGGAACATGTTGATCAAGCTCACAGGTCTCAGCAGAAGACTTCTCCTCAAACGAACCGGTGTTCTGCAGCCTGGAGGTCAGCGAGGTACAGACCACACCCTCTCAGGACGCGTGCATTTGCCGTAATACGGGCACCGGCAAGGCTCAATTCTGTGCACGCAAAGTAGACATGTCTGCAGACTCCTGAGTGGAAGAGGGGCGCTGTGGATAACAATATGAATATGAAAGAAAACTATCACCAAATCACTGGCATCTTTTATTATATACATATATATTGCCTCTACATAGATATATAATAATATCTGTATATAGATATATAATCACTGTGTGTGGGTAAGAAAATCCTTCCTAAGGGAAACACGGGGTTGCCATTGCTGTCTTGCCTGGGGGTCGGGCCCATTTACACCATAGCATTTCATTAGTCGCACGGTTCCATGCAATAAACGCACGCTACCGCGCAATGCATCTACTGTGTGTTACAGTGCAGGAGATGCATTGCATTACTGTTCATGTAAACGTCACCCCAAGAGCACCGCCAGCTGCAATGTGCCTGACCGCGTCACAGCGCGTCTTACAGCAATACTGTACTGCTACAGAAAGTAGCGCATTCACTACTTTTTTAGTCACAACAGACGGTATTGCAGTACTATGCATTGCAGCTGTAGGTGCACTTGGGGTGCCAGTTAAATGAAAGGCAATGCAACGTACCTCCTGTACTGCAAGGCACGATAGTTGCGTTGCACATTAGCATGTGTTACAGAACCCTGCAATTAATGCAACGCTGTGGCGTGAATGGGCCCTCACACATGCGGTTACTTTTTTGGGGTTTCTGCATGTTTGGTGTGTGTAAGCCCATTCATTTCAATGGACTGCGCTGCATGCAACAAATGCAGTGAAGCTCGTGCATCAAGCTCATGGTTGTTGTATTTTTAAACACATTTTTGTGCATTTGTCACACGTCAACATGTTGGCAAAGATGCGTTTTGCCTTCTGTGTTTGGGATCTCATTAACAAGTGATGTGTTTAGCATGTCGGGTGCTTTTTCTGCGTTGATATGCATGGCAGGTGTGAACGGGGTCTCACACTGGCTTCAGCACCCTGCGGCGTTCCAGTATGTGGGCAAGGAACGCAAGAGTCAGGCGACTATCATTTTTAGAAGGGGAACAGCAATGACCTCCTCTACATTTCAGGAAAATGTTTACCAGTCAGAGCCTTTCCCTTCCCAATTTAAATTGTTAAAGAGCGTGGATGGACGAATCTCCTGCTGGACTATTGTATTCCGACAACGGCAGGGTTGCTGCTGTCAGAATGCCCGAACCGTGATGGCAGCTTATTGGTTGCCATCACTGTTTTCCTGAATTTTTTTTTTTTTTATTATCTGATCAAAAGATGCCGGACATAAGGGTGCTGACAAGGCCACCACTAAATGAATTTCATCCCATTCATCGAGAACCATCTGAAATTTCTACAGTGTGTGGCCAGCTTAATAGGCACTGGAGGTCACCATAGCGCAGCCTTGAACGAAGTTTGAAAAAAGGAAAATGTGATGCGCTGAATCAGTGCATTGTATTGCTCCCCTCACTTCTCAGCAAAACTGACAGTAGCCCGTATGCTAAAATGAAGTGGACCCAGTCATCCAGAGGAGTATGGACCTAGCCATAAGATTGACTGAGTCTGCAGAACATGCACTGTAAGCACATAGCCCAGCCAATGCTTTTTTTTGTGTGGAAAAGGCTGTGTGTCCCCAGGCAGGGCTGCACAATGAAGATATCTAGTCTCCAGGAACTACAGCTCTAAACTAGTGATGGGCTCTGGCGTGTTCTCATGCGCCTCGTGCCGAGCCCGCCAGGAAGCCAACAGCTGCAGCTGCGGACCGGGAACATGTCTCAGTGCCTGTGATTGGCCCTGCGCGCTGACGGCTTCCTGGCGGGCTCGGCACGTGGCGCTTGCGAACACGCCCGAGCCCATCACTACTCTGTAAACCTGTGTTAGATCAGCTTCAGTGAAGTACAAAGGTGACATCAGGGGTCTAATAAACCCTTAACTCTTTCCCTGCCAAGGACGTAAGGCATACAGCAAAACACAACCGTTTCCAGCTAGCCACATCAGTTTGCCTTACATCACTGGCTTTCAGTCTTCTGCTATAAGTTCATCGATTTAGCGACCATGAACGTATAACCGAAGGGTTCCCTTCTGGGTGTAAATGAGTAGCTGCCATGTCAGCTGATGACAGCTATTCATCAAAAAATCTGGCACCCCCCTCCCCTGCCACAAGTTCTGGGGCTCTGCACTGCTCCCCATTGGGTGCATGCTCCGATCTGTTTCCCCTCCAATCCCTGCTGCTCTCACCCGCCCCTGTATTGGCAGAGGCACTGGGGATTTGGAGAGGACATGGACCGCTGCAGCCTGCGGGGAGGTGGGAGCGGAGGAGAGATCGGTGACAATCAGAATGGAGAGTGGAGCTGTGCGGGCCAAGCGGTTCAGGATTAGGGTTGCCACCTTTTCTTCCAGCAAAACCCGAACACTCTAGCGACGCACAAGATTTTTTGCGGCTTATTTATATGTAAATAGTGTCACCCATTCATATGTAAATATCACAGTCGAGGCCCCATTCACACTGAGCGACACTTACCTCGAGCGGATTTCCGCGCGGTCGGGATAGCGCAACTGTTCCGGCGATCTTCACCGAGCTGCATGTAAAAATAGAAAAACCACACGACATCCTTGGGAAAAAGGGTCCTGCACAAGCCACGCACGACAGGCGACATGGAGCTGTAGAATAGAACAGCTCCATTTAAAAATCATTGGTCAAGCGACTTCTCGCAATATCGTGCGGCAAATATGCACGATATCGCGGCAGAAATCGCGCGATTAAGCGTTCAGTGTGAATGGGCACTTAGTGGTGGGGGGGGAGCAGTAGCCCCTATCTTTATTTTGGTTACCCCTGTCTGCCTGACCTCTTGTGTCCGGGTTTCAGCTGCCATGAAACCCGGACACAGCATTTAAAACCATTTAATTGTGTATTTGTATTGGTTTAATATTGATTTGATAAACATTTGTGCAATTATCGCAGGACCTACAAAATTAGTAGCATCATCTTTTTATTCTACTGGGCCTGTGCTTTCAGAAAATATATGGTTCAGGTGGTCTTTTATAAACGCTAAAAAGCAGCAGTTGGAAATTTAAAAAAAAAAATGAAAAATTGCAAACAAATGGCCAGCTGAGGTCAAAAGTGGAACGCAGGGCTTGGCAGCAAAAAGGTTAATGTCTCCTTAAAAGAGAACCTACAGATTCAAGGAGGATCGCACCACACTCCTTACCAGTATGTCCCTTGGGTTCTGCAGTGACTGCAGATGGTGCTGCCTTAAAGCGACATTAAAGTCAAAAATGTTTTTCCCTCTTCCAATGTTAATGTCAGCACTTACCTTAAAGGAGAACTACCGTGTTTCCCCGAAAATAAGACAGTGTCTTATATTTTTTTTTCCACAACAAAAGACACTAGGTCTTATTTTCGGGGGATGTCTTATGTGTACCTGGCTGCAGCTGTCTGCTCTCCGATCTCCGCTCGTGCGTGCGGGTGGGCATGCGGGAGGGAGCTGCGGCCGCTCTCTGCTCCAATGCCGTCCATGGAGCCAGAAAGGTGGGCGTGCTGGCGGGCAGGGGGGAGGGAGCTGCGGCCGTGACAGCATGTAAAAAGTAATTATACGTTGCAGCTTCCCCTGAAGTAAGATCTAGCGCTATCAGGGATTTCTGTAATATGAGATCTACCACCGAACTAGGTCTTATTTTCGGGGTAGGTCTTATATTACAGAAATCCCTGAAGATAGCGCTAGGTCTTACTTTCGGGGTAGGTCTTACTTTCGGGGAAACACGGTATGAGGTGAGTGCTTTTCACTCACCTCATAGTTCTAGCCGACCTGTGACAATGAGACTGTCACAGGTGGGCTCAGTAGATCGGGAGGTGAGCGAACACATGCCGGTGTTCGCTCACCTCTCGATCCTGTCACAGCTCTCTGCTGTGACAGGGGAGGGGCTGGGTTCCCCCCTCCCCGCTCTGATCCGCCAGCGCTGAGTGGCGGAACAGACGGGGGAGGGTACAGCTGTCAGTCACGCAGCTGGGCGGATCCCGGCACAATTGTCGGGATCCGCTTCAGCTGCGGCGTCCTAGTATACCGCGAGCTACAGCTAGCGGGATACTGAGCCTAGGGTGACGGGAGGACGCTAGTTTGTGTCCTCCTGTTACCCTAAGGAGAACTATGGGGAAAAACCTTAACCCCATAGTTCTCCTTTAAATGATGTCTCTTAATCCGATCTTATTCTTCCTTCCTGTCCTTTTCATCTGTCCCTCTAGTGCTGCTGTGGGTCTCTGATCCAGCGCTGACTCCTATGTGCTTGCTGGCACTTCCTGTACCACGGTGTCTGCATTCGGGTCCACGCGTCCATAGACTTACCTTGTGTCTCTCCTCGCGTCCCAGCCGAAAATCTGAACTGCAAGATGCTTTGTGGCTGCCCGAGATTTTTCACATTTTGTTGATGGGGGCGCACGGGGAAGACACAGGGTAAGTATTAACCCTTTTCAAAGCGTTTTTTTGTAACACTTTTTGCATATATCTACTGCTTCCTAGCCATAGATATATGCAAAAACACCCAAGGCTTTAATTATACTTTAACTCAAAGTAACGTGATATATCACCAACACACCATGGTCAAATGTCCAGAAGAAAAAAAAACACACGCCCAAACAAACTTATTGACTTGGATACATCATGTCACACTGCAACATTTCGGGGCCACTCAGGGTCCCTTCCATCAGGCATGACATGAGTTATAAAACACAGAAGTTTCCTATCACACTTACTGGCTAGCCTGCAACAAAACAAATTACACTGTCTAACAATTTGCGCTAAAAACAGAGGTTTTAGTTGCACAACTTTTGCAAAATATGTGGAAGCCACACTGCCTCGTCAAGGCTCCTCTGTGCAGTGTGGTCCTAACTCTAATCTTTGAG